TGTGGAGTATAAAATAACATAACATGAGACTGACACCTAAGGACAATAGACACAAGGACCAGGAAGATTGCTCCATAGTTGGAAGCCTGCCTTATGAGTGTGGGGAGAAGGCAGCTGGAATAGAGAAGGGATCATTAAGAAAATGCTGGTTGGAGGAATAGGTCGGGATGCTGAAAGTACATAAAGGACCAAACATGATAACCTCTCAGTATCTGTATTGCAAACCATAATGCTCCAAAGTAGAGAGAGAGTGTGGGGGAAATTGTCTGTTCACCTCCTTATTTTACCAACTAAACTCTTCCTCAAATGTGCTACCTAAAAGAAAAGTGATTGTCCGCTGGAAAACTTGATTTACCTAGGAAATCATTCGTCTATTTGGACAGCCTACGTTAATTAAAACTTATAGAAGTGGCCACTCTATAATTTCTCCTGGCAGAAGTCTGGTGATTCTGGGTACTGGCATTTGTTAGGCTTAAGGGGAGCCTTGCTCAAGTAGTACCTTTTCTTTATCATTTCATTTGCTCACTTCTTTACAAAACTTTCTAAAAGCTTCTTTGTAAGTCTGAAAGAAATCTTTGGTTTAGTAATCGTGATAAGCAGGCTTTTTTAAACTATACAATCTTGTAGAGGCCTTCTTGTCAAGATCTAAGGGACATAGTGGGCCAAGAATAGAAACATGCTATATTTTTTAAATGCTTCTCTAACTTTTTCCTGTCCTCCTACCTCCAAATCCTCTTAGTCCCAACTTAATTTTTGTTTTTTATTGCTGTGCTTAGTTTTATTTGCTCGAGCGATAGCACAGCGGTAGGGCGTTCGCCTTACAAGTGGCCAACATGGCCGACCCGAGTTCGATTCCTCCGCCCCTCTCGGAGAGTCCGGCAAGCTACCGAGAGTATTGGATATGCCAGACACAGTAACAACAAAGTCTCCAATGGAGACGTTACTGGGCCCGCTCGAGCAAATCGACGATCAACGGGAGGGCCTTTACTTTACTTTACTTTACTTACTATGCTTAGTTTTATTAATTTTATCGTAACACTTTCTGTGTTCGTTTTCTTACTTTTTTATAAAATTTTATTCAAAAAGTTGTTTATGAGGATTTATTACATTTAATATTCCAACACCAATCCCACCACCATTACGCCTTCCCACCATCATTATTTCCAATTTTTCCAATCACTACCAAGGCCTGCTCCTATAGCAGGCCCTAAATAATTTATTTTGCATTGCTTGTTATGAATAATTTGCTAAAAATTATTAAAGATTTCCTTAGAAGAAAGTGTATGAAGATTTTTGTATCTCACCCTGGAGCCATTAAGCCCTTGTATAATAGATTACTAACATGTTACAGATCGAGTCTTGTATGCTAATAGTTTCTTAATCAAGATTGGTTGCTTTCTACTTTATACCCCATCAATGTGGCACTACTCCTGGTATTTCACTGGTGAAGAGTATGAGAAGATGCGTGCTCCAGAAATTCTAAAATTTTGAATAGGGTGAAACAGTTGTAATTAAATTTTTTTTCCTGCCCAGTGGTCTGGGGCCCGAGACCCCCACTCCTTCCTGGCAGCCGGTGGCTGGACCCCACACCCAGTTGTAGTTAAATTTTTAACTGAATGGTGACTTTGGGGTCTGTAAGCATCTCTGCAGCTTCTCGATTTTTTTTGAGATTTATTTATGAGTCCCTGCATCGTGGCTGGTTAATGAGCTTATGTGGCGTCAGATGCAGTTTATGAGTGTGACTGCCACACTTCCAAAACAGGGGGATGGGGGCGAGGTCCCTATCCCTTACTCCATGAGAACCTTGAGATTTTGGTCACAAAACCCACATACCTGAATTTTTTAACAGATTCATTCCTGGATGAGGCTTGTGAGAGTCTGTGGAGTCTGGCCAGGAGCATGGTGGTGATTGGATTATGATGGTTTTTGGCTGCCAGGGCACTTCGTGAGTGGGTAGTGGGCTCACCTGCCTCCCTCTGGCATTCCCCAGATGAGACTCAACTTGGCGTGGGGTCTGGAGACATCTCTGAACTTGTTGAACTTTTCTGAGATTTATCTATGAGTCTGGAGCGATAGCACAGCGGGTAGGGCGTTCGCCTTACAAGCGGCCAACATGGCCGACCCGAGTTCGATTCCTCCGCCCCTCTCGGAGAGCCCGGCAAGCTACCGAGAGTATTCGATATGCCAGACACAGTAACAACAAAGTCTCCAATGGAGACGTTACTGGGCCCGCTCGAGCAAATCGACGATCAACGGGAGGGCCTTTACCTTTTACCTTATCTATGAGTCACCCAACTCAACTTTTTTTTTTTAAATAATAAAGCCTCTTTTTTTTTAATATATAGGAGTACTGCTATTTATTCAGCCACTGATTAGCTGATTGAATTGGGCATGAACTCCACCTTACTTTTTTTTTCATTTTTATAATTTTATTTATTGAATCACCGTGAGAGCAGTCACAAAGCCCTCGGGCCTAAGTCTTAAGTCATACAATGAAACACCCGTACCTTCACCAGTGCCCATTCTCCACCCCCCAAAACCCCAGTATACCCCATCCCACACCCTCCCCCTACCTGTGGCGCAGATGATTTCCACATTACTCTCTCTCTACTTTGATTACATTCAATATTTTGACACCAGACCCACCATTATTATTTGGGATTTTACCCCAACACTCAGATCTGCTGAAAAGGCAACAGTAGACAATTTGTTTTCTACTTTTGTTGCTGGTTATGAATAACATATGAAGTCGCGTGACTGCAGTAGTGGCTGCGTGATTTTGAAATTCTGAAATTTTAACACTTAAATCTGGAGGGATTTCTGCCAAAACTGCTGGGTTTCGAGATTTGTTCCTGAGTCTCTTGGATCATGACCATTAAGCAGCTTGATCAGGAGCCAGAAAGACCATTCATGGGCGGCGACTTGGGGTCTCATTGGGATGGGGAGGAAAGGGCCAGTTCCACCCCCATCCCGTGAGGCCCCACATGTCTCATCACTGAGGGCCCAAACCTGACTGTCCAATGGCCTCTGAAGTATGGCAGCCACTGAGCTGCCTAGGGGGAGCAGGTGGAGGGTCAGCACCCTTTCCCCCCTGGAATGGCCTGGCGACAGTAACCTATTGGGAGTCCGGACGCATTTCTGCCAAAAGCCACTGGGTTCTGAGATTTGTTTCTGAGTCTCGGATCATGGCCATTAAGCAGCTTGATCAGGAGCCAGAGAGGCTTTTCGTGGGCAACAACTCAGGGTCTTGTTGGGACAGGGAGGAAAGGACCGGCTCCACTCCTATCCCGTGAGACACTGTGTGTCTCGTCACTGCAGGCCCAAACCTGACTGTCCAGTGGCCTCTGGAGGATGGCGGCCACTGGGCTGCCAGGGGGAACAAGCCAAGGTACGAAACCTGTTTCCACCTGGGGTGGCCCAGCTCTGGTAACCTACTGCAGGGACTGGACGCATTTCTGCCAAAAGCTGCTGGGTTCCGAGATTTGTTTCTGAGTCTCTGGGATCATGGCCATTAAACGACTTGATCAGGAGCCAGAGAGGCTGTTCATGGGCAGCGACTCGGGGTCTCATTGGGGTGTTGAGGAGGGGAAGGGCCGACTCCACACCCATCCTTTGAGACCCCACGTGTCTCATCACTGTGGGCCCAAACCTGACTGTCCAATGGCATCTGGTGGATGGCGGCCACCGAGCCGCCAAGGGGGAGCAGGTGATGGGAAAGCACCCTTTCCCCCCTGGGGTGATCTGGCGACAGTAACCTACTGCGTGGTCTGGATGCATTTCTGCCAAAAGCTGCTGGGTTTCGAGATTTGTTTCTAAGTCTCTGTGTTCATGGCTGTTAAGTAGCTTGATCAGGAGCCAGAGAGGCTGTTCGTGGATGGCGACTTGGAGTCTTGGGATGGGGAGGAAAGGGCCGGCTTTACATCCCATAAGGTCCCGCGTGTCTTGTCACTGTGGGCCCAAACCTGAATGTACAGTGTCCTCTGGAGGATGGCAGCCACTGGGCCATCAGGGGGAACAGGCCAAGGCACGAAACCTATTCCGACTTGGAGTGGCCCAGAGTCTGTAACTTGCTGCAGGTACTGGACGCATTTCTGCCAAAAACCATTGGGTTTCGAGACTTGTTTCTGAGTCTCTGGGATCATAGACGTTAAGCAGTACAATCAGGAACCAGAGAGTCCATGCCTCCAATTATATAGCCGAGCTGGAGGTGGTTTGTGGGTGTGTCTCCCACATACTTTTACTTTCTTGGTAAACTTTGCCCCAAGGTTTTGGGGTCTGGCCAAAGGCACAGCAGCAATTTTGGGGTATATGAAAGTCTGAAGGCACCATCAGACTGCTGATGCACCTACCTCACAGGTACAGAATGACCTGCTAGCGGCACCATACCTACTCAACACAACTTTTTAATGTATTTTTACTAAATTTGTAAAATGAAACTAGTGTCCTAAGGGAAATCTGAAAAATTAGCTCCAGATGAGAAAGATCTTTCTCCAGGGGTGAAAGTGTCTTATTTTTGGCCTCTACTCCCATCCCCCCGGGCTGGAGCAATAGCACAGCGTGTAGGGCGTTCGCCTGGCACGCAGCCAACATGGCCGACCGGAGTTTGATTCCTCCGCCCCTCTCGGAGAGCGCAGCAAGCTGCTGGGAGTATCTCGCCCGCACGGCAGAGCCTGGCAAGCTACCTGTGACATACTCGATATGCCTAACACAGTAACAACAAGTCTCAAAATGGAGATGTTACTGGGCCCGCTTGAGCAAATTGATGAACAATGGGAGGACAGTGACAGTGACCCCCATCCTCCAGTCAGAAACACACACACACACACACACTCTCTCTCTCTCTCTCTCTCTCTCTCTCTCTCTCTCTCTCTCTCTCTCTCTCTCTCACACACACACACAAACCAAAATTAACCAAAACCCAATAAAAGCTAATATATGTGTTGATTTGTTGCAGGTTTGAATACTGGTTTAAAAGTTATGATGTATTTTTCTTCTTATAGGTGTGAAAGTTGTGTGGATTTACTTTTTGTGAGAGGAGCTGGAAATTGCCCTGAATGTGACATTCCACTTAGAAAAAGCAACTTCAGGGTGCAGCTCTTTGAAGATCCTGCTGTTGATAAGGAGGTTGAGATTAGAAAAAAAGTGCTAAAGATGTAAGTATTATTGCTTGAATGATTCACTCCAAAAAGAGCTTAGCTATTATTTAATTATTGATAATCTTCTATTTTCCTTCCTTCTATTCTCTGTTGATATGGTTCCAATGGATGGAGGCTACATATGTAATTAGTTGTGCTCGTTTTAAAAATTGTATTAAACATGACTTTTTAATTAATGTTTGAAATTTTATTTAAACACTGTAATACACAAATTGTTCATAACACAGTTGTTTTAGGTATTCAGTGTTCTAACACCAGTACTACCAGTGTGACCTTCCCTCCACTAATGCCTCCCGATTCCCACCTACTCATAAACCTTCCCCCTTAGCAGTCACAAAATAATTTGCATTCTATCACTTTTCACAACATACATTGCACAATGGTGTTACCAAAGTCATTATCTGAGGATTTAGTCAGCTGTTATGAGCCTTCTGTGTTGTTGTTCACTCTTTTTGCTTAGTGGGCCTCTACGCAATCTTCCTATCTTATTTTGCTGTGTTCCTATTGGGCTGTCAGTATTGTGAAATTTGGAGATACTGTGCAGCTGTATATGCAGCCATACTCCAGGAACTGTGGAACTGGGATGATTCAGAAGTGTGGTGTCTCTTTGAGATTAACTATGGAACTGGGCTGCTTATATAATGGAGGAAGTTGGGTGTGGGTGGGGGCCTGGACCTTCTGGCAGAGTGGGGACTCAGCCTCCTCCCATCCCAAGAAGGTTCTAGAGATCTCAGCCCAGGAACCAGGCCAGCCTCAGTGGCAGCGTCTCTCCAAGATTAGTTGTGGAGCTGGACCGTTTATATGTTGGAGAAAGTTGGGTGGCTAGTTATGATTGTTGCACGTTCAGTTTAGTGCTCATTAGACATCATGTGTGAGGTAGTGGTTGGATTCTCTGGATTTTTGGCATAGTATTTGCTATTTGTTCTTTAATTGAAATAATACCTTGAATGAACTAGAATTGAGTATAATTGAGTCTAATTCTTTAACTTAACTCATTCTAATTGAGTACAAGCAGTGTGCAAGCAACTTGTTATACATGTTATACATAATATGTACCCTAAAACAGGCAAACAGAACAATATGTGATTTATAAATTGAGAAAGATTCTAAGAAGGGAGTACCTGAGTGTTGGTGTGGGTCAGTGATGTAAAATGAGGATAGGTAGGTAATATCTAAATTGAGATTTGAAGGCTATTAGAGAAAATTGTGTTAATGTTAGTTTATAGTCATTTTATTATTATTTATTTAAGCCTTTAATTATTTATTACTGTCTATACCTAGTAGTACTTGACATGTTATAGTCTGTGTCCAGCAGTGGTCCATGGGAGGCCAACAGGACTATTCCTTGAAGTGTTCTGGGGCTTCTACACTGAATCTATTACTGGGAATAGATAATAGGTTTTGTTTAGGCAACTTCCTGTTACTTCAGATTTCAATTTTTTTTTCTTATCCCGAGTCCTAGAGGTATTTATTATTTGTACTTTTTACTTCTGATTGTATTCTGCTGTAAAGTAAGTAAAGTAAAGGCCCTCCCGTTGATCATCGATTTGCTCGAGCGGGCCCAGTAACGTCTTCATTGGAGACTTTGTTGTTACTGTGTTTGGCATATCGAATACGTCACGGGGAGCTTGCTGGGCTCTCCGAGAGGGGCGAAGGAATCGAACTCGGGTCAATTTATAAATCAATCGAACTCGCTCCGAGCGATAGCACAGCGGTAGGGTGTTTGCCTTGCACACAGCCAACATGGCCGACCTGAGTATTCTGCTGTAGTCACCGAATTTAGTATTTTTTTTTAATTTATTGAGTGTGAATTTAGTATTAACGTTCTTGGTCTAGTTATATACCTGGTATTCAAGAAAACAATATTTTATACAAGTAATCTTTTTCTTGTATCTTATACTAATTTGCTAAGAGCAAGCCAGTTAAATAATATTGAAAACAAGTGATATATAATGTGCTGATTTTTGTCTTCTCTTAAAGATACAATAAAAGAGAAGAAGACTTTCCTAGTCTGAGAGAATATAATGATTTCCTGGAAGAAGTGGAAGAAATTGGTAGGTTTTTGTAATTGTGGTGTTTAAAAATTTTTTTTGTCTGTTTCTAGTTGTCTAGAAGAACATCTCACTTAAAAATCTCTAAAATTTTGTTATGATAGCTGATGTTTACCAAATTACTTTCTGTTATGCTTGAATTTTAAGTTGAAGGCATATTTAGGTAATGGATACATTTGAGAGACAAACATTTTGTCTCAGGGAAATATATCTCAGGTAGTACATAGTTGAGCGGGAAGGTGGTATCTTTCTATGTATCATCTATGTGTTGATGATGTACTAAAGTAAAAAAGAAAAGAATATAAAGATTTGGAAAAAGTAGTATTTGCTAATTGTAGGTGTGATAACTAAAGCCATATTATTTTATTAGAGTCTTGAGCATTTTGAAAATATTTTGAAATAGTTAACTGTTGAAGTAGCATTCTGTTAATGTTACTGTATCATCAGAAGTTAGAGTAGTCTAAGTACCTTTTCTTTATTTTTTAAAAAATTGTTTATCCCCTTTTTTATTCAGATACTATGATTTATACTATGATACCATTATTTAATTTTTTTGCATATTTTGTTTCAACACCACAACCATTAGTAGAGTATTTATACAGATGAATACAGCTAAACCTCTAAATTCCACAAAATTGTAAAGGATAAAATTGATAAAGTGTTTTTTTCTAAAAACTATATTTTTCTCAAAGATATATACATTTGAAAATAGTATAAGTAATCTATGATTATACATTTTAAAATTTACATGAAATAGATAAATCTTACAAATAGCACAATTTAGCAGGAGTGAGGAGAGGCAAATTAAAAAAAATAAGGGAAAATAGACATAGTCCTATAAAAGTATGTTTTATACTAGAAAGATGGTGTTGGTTTTATGTTAGAAAATATGATAGACAATGCTTATATAACTGCATTAATAGGTAAAAGAAAAATTATCTGTAGGTGTGAAAAATACCACCTGAATAGACATAGAAAGGACATTCAAAATAAATGAAACATTAATTTATTATTATTATTATTATTATTAGTTTTCTTTTGGGTCACACCCAGTGATGCTCAGGGGTTACTCCTGGCTCTGCACTCAGGAATTACTCCTGGTGGTGCTGGGGGGGCACCCTATGGGATGCCGGGGATCGAACCTGGGTCAGCCGCATGCAAGGCAAACGCCCTACCTGCTGTACTATTGCTCTGGCCCTAATTTATTATTTAACGAGTACAGAATTCTTAGCAAGCTAGGAATAAACAGATTAGTAGAGGGTAACCTTAACTGCCATGAATAAATGCAATATTTAAGGGAAAAGTGTTGAGAAGTTTGACTTGTCTTTTTTTTTTTTGCTTTTTGGGTCACACCCTGCAATGCACAGGGGTCACTCCTGGCTCATGCACTCAGGAATTACCCCTGGCGGTGCCCAGGGGACCATATGGGATGCTGGGAATTGAACCAGGGTTGGCCGTGTGTAAGGCAAACGCCCTACCCACTGTGCGATCACTCCAGCCCCTTGACTTGTCTTTTAAATAAGCTCCTTTAATATTTCTTGCAAAACTAATTTCAAGGCTATGAATGGTCTTAAGCTGTTTATTGGCCATCAATCTTTGAATCATTCCTTAAAATCTCATTGATAATCTTGATAGGGTATTCTTGGATAGGTGTTCATTTCACTGCAGCTTTTTTTTTTTTTAACTATATTCCACTAATCTCTACAGTAGAGTCTCGTTTTATAGACCTGCTATGATTCATATGGGAATTAGATTGTACATAAGTTCCTTTGATCATGCTACTTTCAATATTCTTTCTTTGGTTTTTGCCATGTTGATTATAGTGTGTCTTGAAGGATTTTTTATTTGGATCTGTTTTTGTAGGGATCTGAATACCTGCAGTCCTCAACTCTGGGAAATTCTTTACTTTTTTGGAGGGCAGGTTTGAGCCACACCCTGTGGTGCTTAGGACTTATTTACTCCTGGTTCTACTCTCAGGGATCACTCCTGGTGGGCTCGGGGGACTATATAGGATACTAGGGATCACACCCACATTAGCAGCTGTGCAAGGCAAGAGTCTTACCTGCTGTACTGTTTCTCTGGTCCCTCATTATCTATTCTTAGTGTTTTAATAGGTGTTATCTGAGTGTTTACATACATTTTTGGTACGGGGCAGAGCACTTTATGCTAATATTCTCCACCATTCCGCTTGATTGGCTGCTATGTGGTTTCCCCATTATGTCTGCTCTGCTCTGGGAAATGAATTTTTATAGTTTGCTCACATGGAAGCTCTCTGAGGGATTAGGCTGAGTGTTCCTTTCCTTACCAACTGGTTCTCACACAGTGACAGGAGGTATAAGTGTGAGCAATGTGAGGTATAGTAAGTAGAGCTTGTGATTAGTCAAAAGGATGCCTTTATGAAAAAAATTGTTTCAATTTTTTTTTTGTATTTGGAACACACTTAGCAGTGGTTGGGGCCTCTTTAAGCACAGATTCCATGTGGTGTCAGGGGTCTAACCTGGTCTCTGGTATGCAGAGCATGCACTCCTGGACTTTAAGCTATCTCCCCGACCTTTATTTCACTTTCACTGAAACTTAAAAAATATCTAGGGTCACTTAACTTATAACAAATGGCTTGCGTTTTCTGGGATCTTGTGCTTTGGAACCATTGTTCAGTCATGCAAGTTGTATTCTTTACACATTGCATTTGCACCTATTGATGAATCTTGGGATCTAACCTTTTAATTTAGTCATTTTCTAACAGTGTTCTATGTAAACTTCTTTATTTGGCTTGGAAATACATGATCATTTAAGTTAAGATTCTAAATGAGGAGATACTGTGTAAGGTAATAACTATTTGATTTTTAAAATAGCACATGCATTTATTTGCCAAATATTCTGGGACTACTGGAAACAAAACATTTCAACATTGGGAAATAAATATACTGTTGTGAGGTTTGAAGAAGAGGTAACATTTGAGTTTGCTCTTAAAAGATGAGTTGAAAGGCATGGGAGATGGCGTAAAGAGCAGGTGTACATGTTTTGTATTCTGGAGACTGAATTTGATTCACATGGAGCAACCCTTAAACAATGCTGGGTGTGACTCCAAAGCAAACAAATAAATGAAAACAAAAAAGGTGGAGAGATGTTTACTAGGTAAAGAGGTGAAAGAATATTTGGAGCAAAAGACAAAGTCACAGAGATAAAAGGGTGTTGGTCATGTTGGAGAATGAGCAAATAATTTGTTAACTCATAATTGGAATTTGAGAAGTGACTAAAAATTAAGCGATGAACTCAGGCTAGACCTGGGTCAATGAAAACTAAATTTGTCAGGTAAAATTTTATTCTGTATCCAATAGTAAGTAGGAATGTGGTACTGACATGGAATATTGAGAAGGAGATGCTTGAGTCTGAGAAACTCTTTTTAGGATAGCATTACAGCCATTTGGATCAGAAATGAGGGCTTACAATAGGTAATAAGTGGGAAATAGATAACGGAGATGTATTAGATATATGCTAAGAGTGACAGCAGGTTTGCTCCTTTGATTTAAAAGTGTGGTAGAGGGCCAGAGCAATAGTATAGCTGGTAGGGCACTTGCCTTGCACACTGCCAACCCTGTTTGATCCTTGGCAACCTATATGTTCCCCTGAGCCCACCAGGAGTGATTACCGAGTGCAGAATCAGGAGTCACCCCCAAGTACCAAGGCAGGTGTGATGTAAAATCCAAATGCCTCCTCCCCCCAAAAAAGAACCTTCAAAACTAAGTGTGGTAGAAAGAGTAGAGCAAGGTTGAATTAATTTGAGCAGTTGTATGGTGAAAATTAAGATAATAAAAACTGGAGATGACGAAGTATATTTTAATAGTTTAGTTAGGTTGAATGTAAAGAAATGAAAAGACCAGCTTTATTTATTTATTTTTTAAATTGAATCACTGTGAGATAGTTACAAAGCGTTCATGATTGAGTTTCACTCATACAATGATCGAACACCCATCCCTCCACCAGTATACATTTTCTACCACCAGTGTGCCCAATGTCCCTCCTGCCACCCTCACCCCATCCTACTCTTGGAAAAGACTAGTTTTAGATATATGTCTTTTAATATTTTTTTTTTAGGGTTGGAGTCTACTACTTATGTAGTAGAGTTATGTGACATTGTTCAGTTTATTATGATATAAATATATATTTTTCTTAGTGCAGTATTTCAGTTTGCTGAATCCAGAGCATGGGGTGCTTATTGGGAGACTAATGGGAGAAGACAGGAGAAAAATTGGTTGGGGACATATTTTGGAAGACCTTAAGAAGTTGAACTAAACCTTGTATATATTAGTGTGCTGTTAAGGATGCTAAGGCTTCCATTGAGAAAATAGAATTAGGAGGGTGGCTCAGGAGCCAGTGTGTGAGAAATTAGGGTTGGTCATTTTGTCATGTACATTTATTAAGAATCATTTGAACATCACAAATACAAAAATTTTAAAATACCATTATTAGAATAATTTCCTAACAGCTTTCCAATGGAAGGGGCATACGTGAAGATGAACTTTCTTATAGTATTAACAATAGGCTCTTTTCTGTGGCTTTGACAATCTAAACAAAGATTCTTGTTCCTTTTTACCCCAGGGAATACCTCAGAGGTTTTGGTCTTAGCTTCATAATAAACAGATTATTCTTCTGATTCAGGGTATGCTTATTTTTAAAGGGTGAGAAAGTCCCAAGGGCTTTAATTATAAATTCTTGATGTCAAAATGACTTCAAAATTGTACTTAAATAACATTAAATCTTTCAAAGAGTACAATAGGTTTTTTGTTGGCTTTAATACTTGACTAAAGTATTGACTAAAGGCAGGTCAACATCTGAACTAAAATAGTAACCAGATAAAGGAGCAAGTGATTGTTATAGAAAATTATCTTATACTCCTTTTCTTAAAAGCTATTATACCAATCCGGTCATTGAGGTATGACTAAGTTTTGCTTCATCTGCAGAGTTTTTAAAGTGGTATTCACCTTTTTCAGGAAAGAGATTTA